TCTCCAGCCTGAGCAGCCGCAGCTCCCTCAGCCTTTGCTGGGCACAGAGATGCTCCAGGCCCTCCTCATCCTCACAGCCTGAGCTGGCCCCGCTGCAGGAGCTGCTGTCCCTGCTGTGCTGGGGATCCAGAGCTGGACACAGCACCCAGAGCTGCCCCCAGGGCTGGGAAGGCCACAAATGAGTGGGATGCTGGTCATGAAACAAAAAGGAGGACAAAGGTGCATTTTTGGGAAAAATAAAAAGACATGGCAAGATCAGGCAGATACAAAAAGGCTTCAGATGAAGAGTGCAGGAGTTACCTTCTCACAGAGCAGAGATACTTTTGTCAAGTACTTTGAGAGAGGTGATCTTTAAGCTCTTCAAAGCCTCAAAGGAAGGGAAAACATGAGCAGCACTAAGGTGAGGAGTTTCAGGCATGTGGTTGAGTGCTGGGGCTGGAAATGGTTGAAGAATCTCAGCAGCACAGCCAGGACTGTGCACCAGCAGTGAGGCCATTCCAGTGTGTGTCTGTTTGGGGCCTGCACAGTGGATTTGCATTTTATGCAGAAAGACTAATTCTCAGCAGAAAGGTATTTTTGGTATTTCTCTGGGAAATAACCTACAGGACATGAAATAGTTTTTTCCTTTAAAAGATACACTCATCTCAGAGCCTCTTAAGGAAGGGAGGTATCAGAATAATTAACCAGAGCATTGCTTCTCTTGTGTTCCTGCTTTGGCAAAAGCTGAGGCACACAATAAATTATCAGCACAGTGGTGCCTCTGATCAGAACACATTCAGGTCTGAGAGAAGGGAATGGAGCTGGGGAGGGTCTGGAGCCCCAGGAGCAGCTGAGGGAGCTGGGCAGGGGCTCAGCCTGGAGCAAAGGAGGCTCAGGGGGCCCTTGTGGCTCTGCACAGCTCCTGACAGGAGGGGACAGCCGGGGGGGTCGGGCTGTGCTCCAGGGAACAGGGACAGGAGCAGAGGGAACGGCCTCAGGCTGGGCCAGGGCAGCTCAGGGGGGACAGCAGCAGGAATTTCCCCATGGAAAGGGGGCTCAGCACTGGCACAGCTGCCCAGGGAGGTTTGGAGTGCCCATCCCTGGAGGTGGCACCCAGAGCTCTGGGCTGGGTCAGTCACAGGTTGGACTTGCTGATCCTGGAGTTTTTTCCCCATCCTTAATGATTCTGGAATTGTGATTCACACGAGGCTTTGGTGTTTTCTTTCTGTCAATTAGACAGACATATCTATGAGAAAGCAGTGAATTCTACAATTTTCTCAAACCCATGCTGCAGTAATAAGGAAATTATGCCTCCAGACTCCTTTCATTCACAGGACTGAAAGCAGCACAGAGCTGACTCATTCCATGGGGCTCCACCAGCAGTCTAAAAATTTCCTACAGGAAGTTCTTGAGGTACAGAGGAGACAGTTCTGTGGGGGGAAAAAGGGAAAAAGAAAGGTTATTATGACCCACAGAGGTGATAGGAAATAAAGAGACACAAAACTCCCAAACACATCCCACCAGCAGCTTTCCAAACTGCTTTGCTCTCCCTGGGAAATGTTCCTCCATTTCCAGAAATCCCCCTGAACATTCACAGGGTTTGGAGATGCTGTTCACAACCCCCAGGGCAAATCCCAGCAGCTCCAGCAGCACAGCTCACAGAGGGTGTTTCTGTTCTACCTGCTCAGTGCTCTGGTGCTCAGACACAGGAACACACCAAGGATTCTTTGGCATAATTCATAATTCTGGTCATCTCCACCTCTGACACTGCATTCTCTGGAGAGGGGAAGGGTGGCTGAGGGCAGGAAAAGGCTCCTGGAGAGCAGGGTGAACATGGCACAGCTCTGAGCACTCACACTCACCTGACTGGGGGAAGAAACCTCCTTTCCAACTGAACATTTGGCATCTTGCACAGGGAAATGCCACAGATGGATTCTTTCCTTCCTGTACCTAAACTGCATGAAGTAAAAACTGAATAGGTCACTTTGAAATGATAGATATGTGTATACATTAAATAAAAATAAAACAATGAGAAAAGCCCTGAGCTCAGTTTAGCCACTGAGCTGCGTGGTGGTTCAGTGTGGATGGAGGAGGAACCAGGGCTCACTGGCTCAGGACTGCACCCAGCACAGAGCTCTCACTGCCCAGGACTGGCAGCCACTCTGGGGCCACACAGAAATTATTCTGTGTCTGCCTGGAGACCTCTTGAGATAACTGAAATTAAGGACTTCAGGCCTGAAGCTTCCCAGTTACAGCTGCCAGTTGAAATCAGAATATTCTGAGAGAAAAGGGATCCCCAGGGATCACCCAGTCCAGCCCTGGCCCTGCCCAGACACCCCAACAATCCCAGCCTGGGCATCCCTGGAGCTCCTGGAGCTCTGGCAGCCTCGGGGCTGTGCCCATTCCCTGGGCAGTGCCCAGGACAGCCCTGGGGAAGTCAGTGATGCTGCTCATTTAGAGAAAATGTGCCTGACCAGGAAATGCTGGGAGAACTGGGATCTCAAAACTTGAGTTTTGGAATAAAGCTTTAGACCAGGGTTGGGGCAAGTTACTCAGATGGACAATTCAGTGAATAAAACATCATTTATTGGATTTAATTCTCACATTTACTTCTTACATTTTACTTCTTTAGTGTGGAGGATCTCAGTAGTGCACTGGGGACCTGGAGGCACATTGGAGCCTGTTACCCACCCTTGTGCAAATGGCCAGGGCAATACCTACCTCTTACTCAAACCCTTTTAAGCCCATATTTTTATTTTCACTACAGTGGCTCCCTGAGCTGGATCACTGCAGTGGCCAGTACAAACCTGTGAGCTGCCTTGCTGTTTATTCACTTCCATCTTGGCTTATGAGATCATTTATGATAAACAACTACAAGGTCTCAACATTAATTTGGACTACAAGTCTACCAGGGAACAAAATAAATTTTGACAGATACAAGCAATGACCCAAAAAGGGTTAATTGTAATTATGTTAATGTTTAATAAATGGTTATTCAAGTCCTACAATAATAACCTGAGAGTCCTCCTTATAAAAATGACAATTCTCTACCTCATAATAACTAATTATATTTAAGCTATTCATGGCCATAATTTATCAATTATCCAGCTACTAGATTTCATATTAAAACATACTCCTAATGCAAAACAGCTTTCTGGAAAAATTCTGAGTGAGCAATCAAATGGCCACTCATGGGAAGCACAGCCTCTGTACATGGAATGGGGGTCTCAGGGGCGTCTGCAAATCACTGCAGAAAGAGTAAAATATTTCTGTATATTTGATTCTGCTGCCACTGCCTGAATCTCTCCTTTTTGATGCAGGGGTGCTGGAGAGGATCTGTTTTTGAGCTCTGCCTTGGGTGGGATAATGAAGGGTCTTTGAGCAGCATTAGCAGGAGGAAGGTTTACTGGCAGAGCTTCCAGCTTCTCTTGTAGGTGTAGCTTTAATCACTGGGGACTGTGCTCAGGCTGTTGATGTGGTATTTCTGAAGAAAAAGAGCTTTTGCTGCTCCTTTAAAGAGCTGCCAGGGCTTGCAGGATGATTATATCATATATATATTTATGTGTGTATATATAAGTATTCTGTTTAGAAAGAACATCTAGGTCATGTTTTCCATACTGATCTCCCTTCAATCTGCATCATCAAGGGCACTTTCAGAGAAGCAAGAGCCTTCTGAGGGATTTCTGCTGCTGCTGCTGCTGCTGCTGATTCCCCAGGCTGCAGTTTAACCCTCACTTGTGTTTGGGGTTTGACTGGGGATGGAGAGGCTGCAGGTGACTGATGGAGCCAATTCCAGCTGCCTCCAGACCCAGTGCAGGTCAAGGCCCAGCCCAGCAGGGACTGTGGCAGCACCTCTGGGGTAACTGAGATAAGAATGGAGGGAAAAAAACCCCAAACTGCCCCCCTGCAGCTGGAGAAGGGAGGAGTGAG